CTGTTCCTGCAGCCTCAGGGCTCTCAGAGTCTTTGGTGGCTCTGCAGTGGGAGGAAGAAAGAAGGGATGGTGCAATACTCTGCAGTGTTTTCCTCCCCACAAACCAGGCAGCTGAGTAAGCTCCTTGWATTCTGGTGTCTCAACCTCTTTCAAATGCAGTGTAATAAGGTAGTAAATGGGGGAGGAGTTGAAAGAGATCTTATTTTTGTCTGCCCTTTTATGCAAATGCTCTTCTGGTTATAATAGTCTCTGTCCACACAATATTGTAGTTAGATCTATAGAAAGCTTGCCACTCTAGTCCATTAATTTTCAGTTGTTTTTCATGCTTGTGGTCTGCCAGAATAAGTGTATAGTCCACAAAACATGATAYAGTATATGAAACTCTGTGTTGTGTAGATGAAAAAAGGGATAAGGATAATGCATCTATATCATAATTGCATATCCATGCAGAAGGTTAAAAATACATGTGTAATGTTCACTTTCATGTAAGGTAATTTATTCTAATGARATTGATAGAAATCATTATTTTAAGATTGTAATCTCTTTATTCTCATACTACTCAGTCACACATCCCAGCCTTTGTTAATGTTACAAGGKCTAGTAACTGGTGTTACATAAATAATGAATGCTGTTTGTGAGTAGTTTTGTGTTTCCTGGTMCTGTTCTCTTCATGTGCATTTATTTTCAATGAATATCAGGTATCTTTACCCYTCCATTTTCCCAGAACTGACCTCAGAGTTATTTCTGCCCCTGAAGTGTGCAGCAGCCCAGGGAGCAGTGAGCAGTGCAGTTTGTGGAAAGCTGCAGGATTTTGTGGAATCTGACAATTTAATGGTGTGATTAGTTCTGCCCCTTTCTGTGGTACTCAGCCTTACCTTTGTATACACTGGTATTTGGTGCTTTTTTGTAAAACCAGATGCTATTAKAAAAAGAACATGTTTGCCAAGGTGCTGTTCAGATGAAAGCAGCACACTGTAACTCATTATCATTTCTGCAGACAGAAAGCAGCCTTAGCTTTGGTTTAAATGTTGAGAAYGACTGTAGAAACAGTAACGTGGAAAAAATGGTTTTGAAATGGTCATGACTAAAATCATTGCTTTAGGTAGTCCACAATTTCCTGTCTGTCTCCTGGACCTCTGACAATATTATTGGTTTATTTGAATGAGAATTTTCTGTAATTGTGTGCAGTTCCATGCATTTCAAATTCTGAGTGCATCCAGGTGTTCTTTYCAGTATTGTGCAAATCAGCTGATATTCCTCTCTAGAAAGAATGAGAAATGCAAAGGTGGAATTTGAATACAAGCTGTGTAACATCTGGCCTGTTTTGATATTTTTTTTTTTCCTCAGCAGGACAGTTGCAAAGACTTACCCTCAGTCTCCTAAAAACACCAAACAATATCCAGCTTCTCCTGTGAAGCATCGTGCCACTTCCAGTCTCAGCCAGGAAACACCTAAAAAGAAAGCAGACAAGGAGAAAGAAAATGTCACTCAGGCCAAGTCCCCAGGAGCACGTGCTGAGGATGCAGCCCAGGTGCCTTCTGGAAAAGCTGAGAGCAGTGAAGGTGAGACTTTCTGCAAATATCCTGGTCCGTGATATTGCAAACAGGGATAAGCCATTCTCTTCATGAAGCTGCTCAGTCATTAGGATTTTTCATTTCTGTATTTTCATGCATCTGTATTCTTGTACTTCTCTAGTACARCACTAAAACTACATTTTCTCATCTTTAGACAAAACAATYCCTCTCTGAGCTGAATCCAAGGACAYCTCAGAGCCCCAAAATATGGAAACAACAGAGAATGGGGGGAGCAAGYTTGGGGTGGGTGACATCATCACCTGTAAAGATCATTGGAGAATTAACACCCAATATGTTAATRAGGCAGAACTTATAAAAGGTGAAGATCTCGTGACYCWGTGTCCATTTTGGGTGTAGCCTCAGGAGGAGGCTTTGTCTGCCCCAATGTACCAGKRGGSCTGTTAGGCCTGGATTAAAGTTGTGTATTCTCATTCTCTTAAGTTTGTCTGGCCTCTGTTTCAGATCAGCCTGATTGATAAGGCATCAATAGGCTTATGACAATACTGGAACCTGAAAATACAGAGTTTTCACTCAAGTAGCAGAAGCATTTGTTAATGAGGRTGTGAAAATGCTGACATTCAGTGATGCCCTTTCCTATTCCATMTTCTCTCTGCTAAAAATGCTGATTACCAGTGTGAACTTGGCCCATTTCAGCCTCTGTGCAAACCTGGGATTTCTGGGTTGCTCTTTGTTCCCTGCCTGACTTTCCACCATTATTGTCTTCTCCTAGGCAAGATCACAGCAGGAACAAGTGATGCAGAAGAAGCAACAAAAATTCTGGCTGAAAAAAGACGACAGGCCCGCCTGCAAAAAGAACAAGAGGAAAGGGAGAGACAGGAAAGAGAAGAACGGGAGAGGTATCTCTATTTGTGAAAGTTACTGCCTAATCATTTAATCTGTATCATTAAAGATTCTTGAAATGGTGGTAGTTTTGGAATCAAGTGGGAGCTTACATTTATCTATTAATTTCTTTAATTTCAGACTCATGTTTTATTAGTATCTTGTACTCTCTATGACTAGTGAAGTTAGAAAATAATAATTTGGCCTCTTCAAAAACCTGTATAAACTGTTACATTTCCAAATACTTCAGGCATGTCTGTGCTGAAGTGCACTGCACCCTGCAGTCTGGACATTAATGAAGCATTTTACGTTGTAAAAAAATATTTGAGGTGGCTTTAACTGAGCTAGATCATTTAGAAGAAACAGCCTTGCAGCAGCAGCAAGATATGCATTCAGTGGCAAGGCTTGAATMATTYATAAATTAACCTGAATTTCATCTTSCTGCCCAACTCTGCTGCAGCATTAAGGGCTTTGAGTGTGGGCAGAGTGAAGGCTGTGTTCTGGGAACAGGATTTTAGGTTTTTCTGTTCATGGGATGCTGCTGGAGAATCACTCACTTCCTTCAAACCCCTRACAGTAAATCACAAACTCTGCATGTCTGAGTTCAGCTTTGTTTTTTCTTATTAAGAGCATAGAGGGAGGGTGGGAGTGGCATCACCAGCTCCTGCCATTTTGCCCCAGACAGAATGATAAAAATGACCATTTACAAAACAACTCTCAAGGATCATGATCCCCTCAGTGGGAACAGCACAGGGGGAATTTAGACCAACTCCTTCCAATGTTCCACTCTGTTTTTTTTGATTTTGCTTCTACTCCTTCCAGTGTTCCACTTTGTTTTTTTTTATTTTGCTTCTACTCCTTCCAGTGTTCCACTTTGTTTTTTTTTATTTTGCTTCTACTCATCCCATCTGTTTGTCTGCAGATGAAGCAAAGGATAAAAGAACTTGCCTGTTTATAGATACAAGTACAGGGAAAGAGGGATGTCCTTAATCTTGAAACTTAATTTTATTATTGACACTCTAACTGAAATAAGAATAGAAATGTTTTCTTTGATTACGCATGTTTTTTTCAGTGGAAATTGCAACTTTTATGAAATATTTTAGATGTTAAAAGTAAGATTGGAGTAAAAGCTTGATAGCAACCTGAATTCTGAGCATTCTCAACCTCTTCACTGTATCCTGGCATCTTCCATGAAAATGTGTGCTGATGGAGTGTTGTCAGTCACTGATGTACATTAAATAGGATTCACTCTGAACAAGATGAAGCCTTTTAGACCTTCTGTGATATTTTTTGCAGGCTTGAAAGAGAAGAACAGAAAAGAAAGGCAGAAGAAGAAAGACTTCGTGTGGAAGAAGAAGCTCGTAAGAAGGAGGAGGAAAGAAAACGTGAAGAAGAAGCAGCTAGAAAGAAGGCAGAGGAGGAAGCCAGGAGAAAAGCTGAGGAAGAGCAAATGCTAAAGGAAAAGCAAGAAAAAGAGCTCCAAGCCAAACTGGAGAAACAGGTAACATCTCAAACAGAAATGTGACATTTTTATACATACAAAATAGACATCTTAATATTTGGTAACCTGCCTGAAATAAATAATAGCCCTAACATATTTTACAAATTTGGATTAGAGGGAGGAAGCAGAAATCAAAGCCCGTGAGGCAGCTGAACAACTTCGTCTKGAAAGGGAACAAATCATGCAGCAAATTGAGCAAGAAAGGCTGGAGAGGAAGAAGGTGAGTATTTGCATCTAAGGGTAATTATTTCATTTCTTATTTAAATACATAACCCAGGAAGTATCTACTGGCAATAATCTGGAGGGATTACAGGTGAATAGTTATGCCAGATTTAATATTTGCTGTTTGCCTGTTAGGGAAACATGGACATCAAAATTTTTAGTAAGGTGGAATTGCCTGGGGCATCTTCCTTTCTACAAAACATTGAACAAACACAGAGTCAGCCTCTATTTGAAAAGTTAAATTCCTCAGACAAACAGGAATGAGGCAAATGTTGAATGCTGCCCACTCCTGGACATCACAAACCACCGAGGAACATGAGTGACTTTGTTTAAACTTACTCAACAAAAGCTCTGTGTCATTAATTGAGAAAATTGCTGTGAGTAACAAACACTTTTCCCCCACGTGGCTGCTCTCTGGTTGCTTATGCAGAGGAGCAGAACTGTCTGGCCACTGCTGCACACAGGAATGGCTGAAGCTGCATAAATTAGCATAAATTAGCATAAATTATCATAAATTAGGAAAGAGAGGACAGCTGCAGAACCCCTGGCTGGTTACAAAAGGGGTATCCATGTACATATCCATACATATCTATCCATATATGTTATTCCAAATATGTTCTCATCTTTTCACCACTGAACTGGAGGCATGCTGCAGTTGCAGATTAAAATACCAAATGTTTTACATCTGAAATATCTTGCTATTTTAATGGACAAAGAAGGAAAATAAAGGTATTTTAGGATAATGTCTTACACATTTCCAGCAAGAATAACCTCAGCTATTTTGGTTTGCTCTTCTATTCCAAAAAGGATAACTATTTTTAAAGGAACTATTTGGAAATAGTTGGAAAAGCAAYTAGATTAAAATAATCACTATTGGATTTAAACAAATGTCTTGTTCCAGAACTGAGCACAACATCTGGTATTAAAATGCTTCCTGAAGTGCATTTACTGAGAAAGTGATGTTCTGTAAGATCTGATAGGTGAAAGCCAGCTCCAAGATGTTTTCTGTCATTCATTTTCTTTATTTTTCTTACTTGTTCTCCCTTTCCCAAGGCAGGCAGAGATGATGCCATGACAGTAAAGAAAAATTTCTTTTTGTATTTTTTTTCCCCTGTCTGTTTCTTGTGTTAAATATTCTGCCTGCCATMTCATTCTCAAATGTATTTTGATTTCTAGAGAATAGATGAAATAATGAAGAGAACAAGGAAGAGTGAAACCCCAGAAATAAAGGTATGAGGCAATATGTGGTTGCAGGATTTTTTTGTTTTGTTTTATTATCATAAATGGAAATTATGTGGGTTAGTTCATTTCTAATCTACTAAGGAAACTGTTTCTTCAGTTACTTTCAGACAATGGTTTGGTTTTGAATGTAAAAAAAAATAATTCTATGCCTAACTAAAAAGGGAAAAAAGTCCTGTTTTGCTGTTGTTGGTCTTTGTCCCACTCTGGGCGTGGGCAGTCTCACAAGTTTTGAGTCTGATCTGAAGCYCCAATCCTTCATCTAATACAGTTATTATTTGATTTCAGAAGGAGGAGCCAAAACTGGAGATCCCATCCACTYTGAATGTGGAAAAGCAACCAAAGGCACTTGTTCTCAACCAGCCAGGTAAAAATTGCCAGATTTTTCTGACCTATTTTCACAGTTGGTTCTTTTCACAATTTTCTGATCTGAGGGCTGTGTATTATCATAAATTCTTTGCTTTTATCAAGAACAATTACATTTGCATCAGTGACAGATGTTAGAAACCAGAGACAGCTCTGCTTTGCCATTTAAGCAAAAGCAGAATAAAGTTTCCTCYTCCATTTTAGTACCTGACATAGCATTTTTGTAAATGAAAACTTCTCATCTGCCAATACATTTGATCACTGCTACTTACCTTCAGCTTTTATAGGTTGAGGATTTTTGCACACAACCAAGCTTTTTCTAGTATGACTCTAAATCTTTGTTTTAATATGACTTTGTTAAAAAAGGTAATATATATAAGGGATTATTAAATAAAATACACATATCTGACATTTATCTATCTGTTGTTTACTTCCCCAGGCTGAAATTTTTAGTACATGGCATAAAAGATAAATCTTCCTGTTCCCTCAAATTTACAAGATGTAGCATAARGAGCAGTTTAGGAGTGGAATAGAGGAATGACAGTATAGTATGATGAGTCATGGATTAAACCAACTCTCTGCATTGTCAGTCTTCCTTTCTACTCCAACTATAACTGAAAACTATTTAAAAAATGATGTTTCTACTGTCACAATTTCTTTTGAAAACTATTGAAATAATGATGTTTCTACTGTCATAATTTCTTTTGAAAACTATTTAAATAATATTTCTACTGTCATAATTTCTTTTTTAGAGATCAATGGATTGGCAACGTGCCTGAAAAATAAAAGTTTAGAAAGTGGTGCCTCAGTAATCCCATCCCAAGATGTGGTTGCCAATGGACTGAAAACAGTTTCTGCACTTATTCAACTGGAAGCTGCTGATGGGAAATGCAACAGCATGGAAGATTCAACAGATGAGGTTCAGTCCATGGATGTGAGGTACAGACTGGGGATTGTGCAATTCATGCAATTCAGATGAGACACAGAATTTTGGGTTGCATTTGTTRATATTTTGCTTTGCTTCTCACATCCCCCAAGGTGGCAGCTGGGTGTGCTCTGCTCCTGCCACAATACCCCTGGTTGGTTTTTTTTTTTTGACAAGAGCCACAGAACCTCATCTCATCTCACATATTTGGGGAAGGGAACTCTGAAATCCTTCCACTGTCCTTATTTATGGATTCCATGCTCAAACTTTTCAGTTTTGTGAAAGTAGCTGCTGTAGGTATTTTTCTGATGTCACCATTTTTTATTTTAGTTGTAATGCACGAACATTCCTGCCTCCATACAAACAGAATAAAGAAAAGAATGGATTTAGGGTTTTAAACACTTGACAAATAGAAATGTATAGAAATCAGTAAATAACTTTGTGATTTTAAATACTCTCATGTTTTGATGGAAGGATGTGCAGAAAAGAAGGATTTAAAATTTTTTAAAAATTATTTATACGTTTTTATATATAGGCAGTTAATAGAAAGCTGCTAAGACAAAGCTAGGTCTGCATTTTGAACACAGAATTTTAATATTATTCTCCTTTAATCAGTCAGCCAGTTGAACCTCTCAWATTGTTTAAGTAWTTCCAGCAATTCTGCATGAATATGYAGAAAATGCCCTACTTGGACAGAAGTCCATGTAGCATTTTTTGGTCTCCGAGATTATCAATAACAAAAATTAGGGAGAGCACCTGAGTCAGCCACTTCCTGCAATTCAGGATCACACTGAAGTGCTGCCTTAGGGATATTGAGGATGCTTTGGTAGCCTGGTTGAAATGTTGTCCATGAATTTATAAAACTCCTTTTCTTTTACCTGCTGATGTTGTTGGTGTTTAGGACCTCACSTGGAAGCAAGCTGTACAGTCTCACTGGGTGGATTATGTTTTTGATCCCTATTAAACCCATTTTTTATTGGTGGCTTTGAGCCCTTCTTATATTTTGTGTTGCAGAATTTCAGGCATGATGGTTTTTCCCTAAACTCATCCACCACCTCAGCATGGTTTTAGAAAAGTCTGTGAAAGCTTTCCTCTGCCTTTTCTTCTCCAAAGTAAAATGCACTAGCCTTACTAATCAGCAAAACAGGTGGTTGTAGCATTTCTTAAATTTAATTATGGGATTTCYGTGTCTGAAGTATATCATAAGGTCTTAAGAAATAACTTTTTATTTAAGTTGTGTAATGTGAATACTTTAAGTAAGTGTTTGCAGGGTCAGGACAGGAATGTGAAAGGTGCAATAAACACTTAGGAATGGTGCAGGGACTGAAATAATRAATGATCAGTAAACTGTCAGGGATGTGGATTTAGGAGATGAGTRCTCATGCCACATAATTACTACAAACCTTAATCATTAAAAGATACAGGTTAGGTGTGACTGTCTATCCTGAGCAGGGCAATATCTTTTTCTTTGGATTAGGACTTTCTCTAGGTAAAGGCTTGCTGTGGCTGCCTTGAGTAGTAGCTTTAATTTTATTGTTGCTTAATGAAAAGTTATAAAACCCTTATTCTATGTGTTTCTTTCCTTTTTCTTTCATATAGCCCCGTTTCAAAAGAAGAACTGATCTCTATCCCTGAATATTCACCCATGAATGAACTCATGCCGGGTGTTTCTTTGGACCAAAATGGGACAAGTAATGCCAAGGCTCTTGAAGACCTCTTGGATTTCACAGGCCAAGCTACCTACTCCAAGATGTCCAGTGATACCCTTAGCCTGGATGACTGTAACAAAAACTTGATTGAGGGATTTAACAGCCCAGGACAGGAAAATACACTTAATTCTATCTGCTGACTCAGCAGAACAGATACAGGTACGGTATTGTCATCAAAATCTTAGCTATAATAAATTGCTGTGATTACTTACTAGCTTCCCAGAAAATTACAGCAGTTTTACACAGCAATGTGGAGAGAGAAGGAAAGCTGTTCTCATAGGTATTTAAATTCAACATAATCTTTGATATTTGCAGCTGTCTGTAAATTGGCATCGTATGCAAACCAACTGTATCATAGCAACCACAAGTGTTTGGTAAATGGAAGAGTTTCCTTTAGGCATCCAGAATTTCTTCATTAATACAATACCTTTCCTGTATATCTTTGGAGCACATTTGCATGAAGAAAACAGTTTAAAGTTGGGCCAACCTAGGCAATGGTAGTTATTGCTGCTGCTTMCTCTTTTCTGCTGCTGTAAAAGTTGTGGTGTAGAATGACATATCCTGAAAAACCCACATAGTAAAGAACCATAGGAGGCTTCAGTGGCAAAGTACAAAGCCAAAGTGAGGTTTTTTTGGAAGAGTATATTCTAAATTACAAAACTGAGGTCATCCAGTTTACATAGCTGACTTGATATTCTTCTCTCTCTTTTTAATTGACAGAAGTAACAATTTGTGGAGGATATATATCCCTGTGATGCTACTGGCAGTAAAATATGAGCTTGTCACTTGAAAAAGCTTCTGCAGTCCTTGAACACTGGATTTCAAATAATCAGAGCTGAATAAAACTTGTCTTCCCAGGGAATATTTTGARTAACTGGCTGCTTTTGGTAGAAACCAATGATCTAGAGCCTTGATGGTTTCAGGGAAGATGGAACGTGCATTAGAATTTGAGCTTTAGCTGCTAATAAACACTCATTTCTTCTCCTAATTTAAAATTCATCTCAACACTTCACTGTGATTTTTACCTGTGCATTTTATTTTTAAATAATACCTCCCTAAGCTTGATCATCCATTAGACATCTTTTTTCTTGTAAATAATGATGGGGGTTGCCCACAGTGCATTGAAACAAAATAATACACTGTACCTTAGTTTTGTGCCTATCTTTTTTGGTCTTTAATAAGGAATTATTGGCTTTCATGAGGCATTTAATTCAAAACTGTAGCTAAAGAGGCTTGAAAAATATATAGCTGCTGGAATCAAAAGAGCCTTGTTATTGTCTGTGGAGTGTGGGAGCTATCCCCTTATAATTATATTGACACTTTTAGTCACTAGTGGCACTTACTGGTTAATATTAATTAGTCTGGGAGCAACTATCAACTGTGTTTAAAAACATGTTTGTGTAACACCTGTAAGCAAAGTAGGAAAAAGGCCAAGTGTAATCCCTTAATATATTTGTAGTATAGGTAGTAGATCTGAGTGAGTGATCAGGAGGGTGAGGTAACACTTTAATTTTGAAGATGCAGACACTKGATTGTGATACCAGCAGGCTTTCTATCACACTGGGAAGTGTTTTGTCTTCCTGTAGGCTCAACAAAACGGGATTTGGTCAGCAGCAAAACAATCTGTGAACACTACAGCAGAAACACAAAGGCCAAGATGCAAAAAGAGAACACTGAGGGCCCTGRATGTTCTGTAAACATTGTCTGGAATAGTTCACATCAAATTGGACCAGGTCTGGACAGCATGGGCCATGCAGGTGCTGCTGTGAGGACATTTTGTCAAATCCCTTACAAGAATAAATTATAAATACAACTCTCTTTGGACACTAACACAAAACACATGAAAACTTGGGGGGAGAGGGTGATTTTCTTTTTTTTTTTCTTTTTTTTTTCCACATGTAAGAGTTCACAGCGTAGATTGAGCTCAGTTGTAGCACCATTCTTGTGCTCTTTTTTTTTTTTCTTTTTTTTTTCCACATGTAAGAGTTCACAGCGTAGATTGAGCTCAGTTGTAGCACCATTCTTGTGCTCTTACAAGTCAGCAATGGGAAAGTAACCAGTGACTTTATGTGCAATGCATAAAAAAATCATACTTACAACAACCCAGCTCTATTTATGTTCGTGTACTTGAAAGAAATACTTTCTTTTGACTGTGCAGTAAGCTGTAGCATGGTAYTGTGTCTTCCAACTTAGTCCTTCATCTATTTCCTAAATAATAAACAAACAGAARCAGTTTGTTTTGCTGTAATACATTGTGTTTGACAAATGTCATATTATATTTTATTATGGTGTCATTGTATAACCTGTAGATTTCTGTATTTGCATGACCTGTATAGCATGTATAAAGGTGAAATACATTTTCATTTATGAATCTGACGTGTTTCTTGGGGCTTTTTATTCCCACAACAATATGACTTTAATATTGTTTTATAATTTAMCATTATATTTGCTTTCAAATGTAACTTTTCAAATTTGGCTGAATATCTGGAGCAGGTACTGTCAGCTGAGAGATTAAATTGCTTTTTTTTTTTGCTTTTGATGATGTGATTTCATCCCAGCACAACCCATGTTTGCTGCTGTGATTCAAAACTATGCAATGAGCTTTACTTGGAATTTGTCAGTGRTCTTGCAACTGGTGATTCACACAAGCAATCCTGATAGAGCTTTTCTGCTATTGTTTTATATAACTATCAGTAAGTTTCTAATAAAAGAATAAATAATACCTGTGAGGTAAYTGGGTATAACAGTAGCTCTCTGATTAGGTTCAGCACTTTCCATGGTGTTGCCCTGGGAAATGGCACCCAATGCTTGTCTTGGGCCACTCTCCCCAGGGAGTTCATTTCAAAATAAAATTGCATCAATGAGGGGTGGATCTGAACCCCCAGGCTGYATTTGCATCTAGTGATAAACAGCTACAAACAGGGGGAATCATCTTCTCTCCTTTAATTGTAGAAAAGCTGCAAAACCAGCAGCCTGGAAAAYCTAGAAGGAAACATCCTTCCCATTAAGGTTTAAACTATGGTCACTTCCCTGTATTAAATGGAGATAGTTTAATATTCAAGAGCTGAAATCTAGACTCTGAGGCTTCTATCTTGTTTTCTCTAAGCCTGCCCTGTATCCTGCACAAGAGAGACTGTCCTGTAAGCAGCACAAATGAATCAGTGGGAATATTCTGCTGCTTCTCTTGATTTAGGACCTGTGAGACTTCTTCCTTACTTCTCTCTTCTCCCCATTATTACTGCTGAGCCACTATGCTAAAAGCTGGAAAATACATTGTATGTTACAACTGAATGCAATTTTCTCTGGATTTTCTTTTTAATCTTCAGAAAAGAAGGTTTTAAATTCAGTCTCTCCAGAATACTTACACTTAAAAATAATAGAAAACTTAAAATGTATTCAGATTCATTTTTGTTATTGCTGTTAGTGCAATAATACCAGTCCAAAACACTGCAAGCCACAATGTTCATTTTGCCTTCACTTTTTTTATCCCATAATTTATCATTATGATCTCCTACAACTGAAGAGTAGGTGATGCTGTTCACTCCAGATTAATGTCTGTTAAAGCAACATGTGAAGTGTAAAACTTCTTAAAACTGCAAGCAGAAACTCTTAAGAGAAAGTACATTTAAGCTTTTAAAATAATTACGTCAAGTATAAGGAAATGGTTTCTTGATCACCAGAATTTTGGATACTTGTTTTCTTSCCAGTAGCCTTATTTGCTCTCCAGCTTGTGTATATTTTATAGCATTTTGATTATTCAAGATTGAGCTTAGTAATGYTTTTAAACTAGTAGCTTTGATGATTACCTGAGGCCTGCAATTTTCAGGATCAAAATAGATGCTCTGGAAGATAGCATGTCATGTTCACTTGGGAGCTTTACAAAAATAGAGATGTAAACTTGCTGTAATCAAGCCTTAATGATTTCCAGAGAAAAAATGACTACGATGCAGGAGAGATCCAACAATCAGAAGGAGCAGTAGACAATCAACTGTGTGGTCTAAGAATTCTTTCTTTAAGAATAAGTTTTTAAAATAATTGCATGAATAGCTCAAACCAGCAGCTTTGCAATATCACTTAGATCATCTTGCTGTGCCTAGAAGGAATAATTTGAAATCCAATGCAATTGTAGGTGATTGACATTGTACTATAGGAACATAAGGACATAAAATTGCATAATTGAAGAAAAACATTAATGTGTGTGAGAGATGCTCTGAACCAGGGAAATTACTCTGTCAGTATTTCCTCATGTTTTTTTCTAGAAATAATAGCCCCTCTCACCAAATTCTGCATGAGCATCACAGTAAGGAGGATCAGGCCAATCCTGTAACACCATATTTACATGCTCACACATCCCTTTTCAGAGTAACCTCTCTTAAAATACAGATGGCAGCATTGTCTGAAATATCATTTTTAGCAYCTTAAATACACAAAGCTGCAGGGTTTCATACCAATAAATTCAGTAGGTTTCTCCTAATTTTCCTGGTGTAAGGTCTCAATCAGGAATAGTTTTCACTATTTTTTYCCCCCTTTATACCTCTTATCAGTTCAAATCCAGACATTCAAAAGAATACAAATTCTGGCCATTGCATGCTGGAATGGGTTTGTTCTCTCAGTTCCAGCCCACACCACAGCTGGCAGAGAAACAGAAGTCAAGGAGTGTTTCAAAGACTGAGAATGTGCAAAATGTGTCAGGGACAGAAGTTCTTCCCTTTTGGCAAGCAATCTTTGTGTTGCTAACCTACATTTGTACAAGATTAAATCATGCTAATGTTCTTGGGCCAGTGTTGGGCTTTAGGGCAGAAAAAGCAGTTGAGCTTTTGTCCTGTAGCAAATGAAACTGCTGGTGGATTTAGGAATAAATGAGCTGATGAGTGGGTGAAGGTCACAGTCACTGAAGAATGCTAAGACACTTTGCACATTTACTATCACTAATTATTATTAGTATCAAATCAGTGTCATGCCTGTCTTGAGCTATTTAAAAATTTTATCTTTCCTCAGTCAGACTTTCATCCTGCTGTTTTACTGCAATTTCTCCTCCTGTCATCTTTCCAAGACCTGTCTCTTACACAAGCAAAGAATTGCAGCCTTTTTGTGCCTCTGCCTTCCTCCTCAGATTCATCTGCTCTGGCCTTTTGGGTGATAAACTTAAAGCCTTTGCTTTTAAAATCCTGTTGCTGCATTTATGTCACCCATTGGTGTTGGTTCACACACTGAGATTGTTTTCACTGGTTATTTTGCCAAAATCCTACCAAGTTCACATGGGCTATATGCCCAACAGCAATGGTACATTTTCATGTGTTGTTACAGGAAAGCCACGATAACCTTATAAATAAAACACAGGCTTGCTGGAAACTCTATTTGAAGAGGAATTTGGTGATGCTATCAGAGCCCAGTCATGCAGTTAGTCATCCTCTCACATTCCTTCAGGTTTTAATTAAACAATTACTTTCCAGCTTTCCTTAAATTTCAAGGCTAAAGAATGTAGGACATATTTCCTTCATTAAGGAGGAATCTGTTGCTCTGAGCCTAGACCAAAAGTAGTATTAGAGTTCCACAGAAAACTGAATTTGAGATTTTTTTCTTCATTCTAGAACAAATTCTTGTCTTGACTGCGTAAGGTATTACAAATTTGAAGTTTCTTTGACAAATAACCTAAGGAATTGACTTAAATCCCAGCGTCTAATTTTCTATAAATTAAGAGGAAGAGCTGATGCTCCTTTGCTGGGGATATAGAGATTCAGCTGATTTTGTTCCACTGAATGATAGGATTATTTTTTTATTAYTACCTTAGAGGACACAAATGACCAACTTGCCTGCAAAGAATTAGGCAGCTCACTCTCATTTCACAGCAGGAGACACACATTGTGGTTTGGTGAGAGAATTTTGATTAAAAAGTGCCTGATTGCACTAAGGGGTAGGGATGGGTGAGAGGCTGAGGAAGAGAGCATGAATGTGAAACTCCTTTGAAAGCAGAGATCCAAGTTAATAAAGCCATGTAAARCTAATCAGGAGGTATAACAAGATAGTGAAGTACAAAAGAAAACATTTCCCTTTATGAGAGGTTGGATGGTAAAACCATGATTTAACATTGGACAGCAGTTCTTGACTGTGAATCCAGATAATCCTGTGGGTGTTGACTCCACAGACCCTCTCTCATCACTCCAAGATCTGTCTGTAACTTCCATTCATCATTTCAAAGTATTTAGCATGCAAACCACAGTTGTGCTCTTTCCAAAGGGAATGTTTACTAAATTAAGCATTAAAGGAATATGAAAGTGATTCTCTATTCTAATGATACTTAATTAGAAATAAAAGATGGAAATAGATTAAAATAATTAGTCTTAATAAGCAGTAATTGCCAAGTCTTGTGCAATAGAATAGCCTTTCCAATTTAGAGGTGAAGAATAATGATGCTGTGGAGCTACTAATAGACACTGATTTAAATAATAATTTAACTTGTAAAGTACCTGTAAGTTGTTGTTCTCTTAGACTACACGGTCCTAACCAGAGATCCTTGTGTGCCAATCCTATGGATAGTATCCATCAGAACAAATATGTTATCAAGACCATCTGAGGCAACATCAAGTAAATAGGTTAATAATGAAATTTGATAGTTTATTTTTGTCATGTAGAAGTTTATTCTATGCACACAGAGGYTGTCTGTACTTAGAGCTCAGTTTTCTCTTCTAGTGAGGTGTGTTTTAGTTTTGAGTTTCAGCATAGTGGTTGGTAGCCCACCTGCATGCAGAGATCAGGCAAACAACTATACCAGCTGAACCAGGGAATAAAACCAAATCTTTTTTACTGTTAGTGCAGCTTTCTGAATCTTGACAATGGAAGCGTGGCTGCCTATACAGTGATTACCTCACACATTGCAATGTATGTCAAACTGGGACATGCTGAGCCACWCAGGCTGGACCAGGTTTCTTTGGCAAAGTGCAGATCA